TCTCCTGAGGGTCAGGAGGAGTAGTTGACTCGAACTCTGCCAAAAAAGCCTCGGCCCACCTATGGACGCCGAACCCAGAATATTTTATCTATCATTTATTGTTTTAGTTATTTATTTTGTTATTTATTATTTTATGAAATAAAATTATGCGAAGATAATTGTGTCCAGAATTGTCTTGTTCTCCTAAAAATTGACAAACAGCTTACAGAGCATGACCTAAAAACAAGGTATAGACAAAAGGACAACAGTCGTCAGTCGTCATACTCCCGATGATCAGTCATTGCTCCTTGAGACACAACCACTATAATCAAGGCTCTCCCCATCACCAACTACTGGTGGTGCCTCATAGGGGACGAACCCAGAGAAATCAACAGTAACCCTTTCATTAGGCGCCCACACAGCAGGCTCCTAGAAGCAAGCACCTAGGCAGGTGCCGCCCAGGTTGGCATCACCCAGGCCAGTGCCTTGGTTGTCACCCACGATGACTCACTCACCTTCTGCACGACATCCAAGACAGACCACTCCACTTCTGGCACCAGTGTCCCTAAGAGCCTAACCTCAGGCACCCAGACAAGGGGCCTCGCCCTCTTCATATTGGGCGCCCCTTGATGCCGCCTAGGTGAGGGGTCTCGCCCTCTCCACCGTTGGGCGCCCCTTGATGCTGCCTAGACAAAGGTCTTGCCCTCTCCACCTTGGGCGCCCCTTGATGCTGCCTAGGCGAGGGGTCTCGCCCTTTCCACCTTGGGTGCATCCCTTGATGCTGCCCAAAGGATGGGCCTCGTCCCCTCTGATCAGACGTCCAACCTCAGGCTCCTAGTGCCCCTCGGCGTCCATGCCCAGCACTAGGCGCCCAACGAGCTCAACTCCTCAGCAGCATCTCTCATCATCTTCATCTTTATGGAGTGAGCCTCTGACCTAGTAGCTCTCTCAAATGTTACTCGAAGGTCAGCCTCAAAGTATCTCCTCAATCTCTATGGAGTGAGCCTCTGCCCTAGTAGCTCTCTCAAGTACTATTCGAAAGTTAGCCTCAAAGTTGGGTAGCCCTCTCATGCGCTAGCCTCAACTTCTCGGTGGTATCCTCTTGTGCCTGCCGCCCGAGCCTTCACAGTTTTATGACATCCTCTCGTGCTTGCCGCTCAAGTACCAATTGCTCTTCAGCAGTCTATATCTCCAGTTTTGCACTTTCTCGCGAGTCACAAAGAAGCGCAGCCTTATTTAGCCTCTACTATGATAGTCATCTCCTGAGTTATATGTAGCTCGGCCTCATCTCATGCGGCCCTCTCACGGGACAACCACAACTCTGACTTTGCTCTCATGCAAATAGTCTCTCTCTCTCCAGGTAATCATGTTAAGATATTTAAATGTTGGAATAACATTGTTTTTGTCAGGCACAATTTTAGAGCTATACTCCTTGTAGAAGACCGCACTGGAGTCTCAGTTCCTATAGCGGTACAAGTGCTAGCTCTGTTGTACACAGGAGTCACACTCTGGAAAAGGGTGGGGGCACCACCAAAAGCAACTTAGCCATCAGACCTTGACTGAGAAGCACTGGGACATCAAACCTCGCCCTCTCGAGAGGAGGAAAAAATACCACCATAAAAGCAGAAAGAGTCCCCAAATCAACAGGGCGTTTCTAATTAGAGACAAGGTCAGTCAGTGACCAAGCACCAGAGAGGCGCCGTCCATAGCGAGACTCAAGGCGTCATCCAAACATAGTAGTGCCCAAGGCCTCCTGGAGTCATCCAAGGTGCCTGACTAGCCTCCTAGTGTCGCCCAAGGTGCCTACCTAACCTCTTGATCTCGCTCAAGGCGCCTGCCCAGCCTCCTGACATTGTTTAAGGCATTGTTCAGCCTCCTGACGTCACTCAAAGCACCATACTAACCTCTAGTGGCGCCCACAGTAACCTCCACTGTCGCTCAAAGGATGCCAAAAGAAAAAGAAAAAAATAAGAGAACCATGAAGGGGCGGCGCCCAGGCCAAACCAAGAAGAAGAGAATAAAAAAAAAAGGGAGAGAGAAAGGGAGGCCTACGCGGCCAAGTCAGACCAAGAAGAAAAAAAAAAGGGAGATAGAGCAAAGAGGGCGGCACCCATCAACCAAGAAAGAAAAAAAAAAAAAGAAAGAAAGAAAGCCAAGAGGCGACACCCAACCAGGAAGTGAAGACCAAGGAAAAAAAAAAAAAAAAGGAAAGCCAAGAGGCGGGCGCCCAACTAGGAAGTGAAGACCAAGAAGAAAGAAAAAAGAAATAGAAGAGGCCCAAGAAGAAGGAAAAAAAGGTAAGAAAACCAATCCAAGAGGGAAAAAATAAAAAAAGAAGAAGAAAAGTCAACAAAAGGATCAACCTAAAAAAAAAAGAGAAAAGGAAGAGAGCCAGCAACAAAAAAAAAAAAATTATGTTCGATACCGATCAATACAACAGTCCTAAAGATGAGGAAGATTTTGACTCACTCTAATGAAGACGAAGCACATGCCCACGACCCCTTTCTCTTGAAAAAGTCAGAGGCTTGGGGCATGGGGGGCAAATGATGAGTCCAAATTTTACTGAGTCAAGCCAAATAAAAATTAGTCGAGAAAACCCAAAGAAAAGTTCAATAATAGATGAATCAACCAAGGAGTCAAATGAGAGTCCAAAACATAGACCAAGCCCATCCTCAAAGAGGGCGCCGCCCAAGGGATCAAATGGGCGCCGCCCATGAAGACTCCAAGTGGGCGTCGCCCATGTGGCCTCAAGTGGGCACTGTCCATGTCTTGCCCATCCTCTCCTCCTCACTTCACTCCAAAAGCAAGTCAAAGATTACTCTGGGTCCAAGCCCAAAGTCAAGTACGAACTCAGTCCAGTTTAAGACCCTCTTTCAAAGAAATAGGAGCACGAGGGAGAAAACATCGGGATAGACACAGAGATCTCCTGTCATAGTTGTACTTACTAAAACAATAGAAATCTTCCTCATCTCGTCACCGCCTCATCACACCTATATAATGTAAGCCCTCTCCATATAGAGGCCATACTCTCATAGTCTTGAGATCTCTACACACACTACACCTTCCTACACACATTACTCTCTCTCTCTCCAATGCATTGTAATACTCATGAAGAATACTCACTTCGGTTACTTCACTTCTTAATAAAAGATCTAGGCCACCGCTGCTGTTTTCAAAAGTTGAGTACGTCATCCGGACCGAACCACTATAAACCTCTATGTTTTCTTCTTATTTATTGTTTTAATCATTAATTGTCATTGACTGCTTGTTATTGTTTACTAATTGCACCCGTTCGTATACTTGATTGTTGATTTTGCGCGAAGACAATTTTATGTATCATCAAAACTCAAGTTAAACGTGATTAATTTGATTATTTTATATATAAATGAATCAAATTTTAAATTTTTAAATTGAATTTTTTAAACTCGATTTATTTAAAATATAAATTAAGTTTGAATCCAACCTTGACTCAATTATCAGCGGTAGGTGAGAGTGCTGCTTTATAGTTTGTTGGTTTTAGATCTGGGTTGTCCAGTTCTTGCGATTCTGCACGTGGGTTTTGAGGTTGGGTGAGAATGATTTTGTTTGGCTTTCTTTGTCGCTTTGCTGGAGGTGGTCCAGCTCTTTTATTGCTACGGGCTGTGGGTCCATGGCTGATTGAACGTGAGTTGTTAACGTAGTTTAGAGAAATGAATGCTCCACTCTTGCCATCCCTCCAATCGCCGCATTCAGAGAGAGAGAGAAGACAGAGCTTGTTTCTCTCATGCACATCAGTTGAAAAGTCATAATAAATTAAATTATTTGTTGATCCCCC